ATTTGGCAAAAACGCAGAGTATAGAATCGTAACATAATAAACGGGTCAAATGGAAAACAAAGCCCAGCCGCTTTCATTGAACTCGCAGAATCACAATTTCGGGCCTTGAAGTCACCAAAATAATCAGGTCAATAAATCGAAGTCCAACAAAAAATAGAGCAATTTGATTGGTCGATTATTTATGCTTAGGTGGCATATCTCATATGCTCTTATTTAGAGCTTTTAATAGTGTAAGATATTTAATATTGATTTTATTTTATTTTGTGTTTCTATATTATTTACTGTTTTAGTTTTAAATGTATTATTTTGATTATATTTGTGAGTTTACGGATCAAAAAATTATTTAATGTCCTTCATGATTGTGTTTTGTGTGACTCTCTTAAGGGGATGGATGAATACTTTCTCAAGTAGAGGAAGCTTTGTATTTAGCAGAATCGTTTGCATCATTGAACTTCATATGTTATTTTGCTAATATTACTAAACTGCTTTTGGTTCACCAATACCTGTTACTGGGGAAAAAATATGTTAAAAACTTTCAAAAAGTTAGATATTCAATGATAAACAAACACAAATGAACTCAAATCGTTCAATTCCCAATTTGTGTTTCTTTTTCAGATGGACATCTGTCGTTCATATAAACTCCATGCGTCTGCTACGATTACTACGCAAAACACAATGACCTAGAACCAAACATTACTCGGATTCGAGACTTGCGTGACACACTAGACACCACTTTTAGCTATCTTTTGATAAAAAGTAGAAGTAGTTCTTTTAAGTGTTCCCAATCACCATTACTAAATCAGTAGAATATTAAATATAAAACAGAAAGGCTCAGAGATGAAGAACCGGATTACCAAAGCTAGATCAGCGGATTAGCAAACTTGTGTGCCACTTTATATATTTGTAGAACTTATACATGTATTTTCTAAAATATTACACACCCAAATGACTCATCGGTATGAAAATATTCGAAAGTTTGACAATGACACTAAACAACTTTTGTTTAAGCGCGTGGAGAAGTTGAAGAAGCAAATCAAAAAGCATAGTAAGTCTTACACTCGGCTATAAAAGGAGAGATGAAGGTGTACATTACAAACATCAGAAACTTAATAATCCTCAATTTTCTTTACTATCAACATTGTTTGTACATATTTTGATTTCTTTACTTTGAGTGATTAAAAGGGGGGCAGCTTGGGATGAAGATAGGAGAATATTTAGAGGTTGGCTTGCAAAAAATGGTGTAACATGGCGTGGAATATCTCTAGTATAAACACACTATAAAAGAGAGATGTAGTAACACATTTAAACATCATAAAAAGATCCAATAGCATACAATAACACTTCTTCAAACAAAAAAAATGGGAACAGTCGGATTCAAATGGAGTGAAAGTGGTATTCTTACCATGTTTCAAATAATTTTGTGATGTAACTTATCTTGAACTTAGCCTTCGATTGGTGCATAACTAAAGTAAAAAAAAAATTAAAAAAAAATTGAGAAAAAATTAAGAAAAATATAATGTTTTCAAAATTTAAGTTGTTTTTCTTCTCCAGTTAGCATTTCTATAAGAAATATAAACATTTTGAATTTGAAGAAACTAAAAATGAACAAAAATAAAAAGAAAATATTCTTTAATTAAAATATTTAAATTATAATCATATCTACATGCTTATGGAAAAAAATTCATTTTAGTTAATTTATTTGGTTTTTCTTAATTAAAAAGTTCATTATTCTTATCGGCATCAAGCAATTTAAAATTATATCAAGTAAAATATATAAATTCCTCAACAAAAACTACATTAAAATCATTGTAGTGTTTATTTTGATTGTAGAATCCTGTCTATGGTTATTGATTTTATGGCTGCATAATTTTCCTTGACCATGTATTTTCACTTTTTATAAATCCACATGAAAAAAGAAAGAAAACATTAATAACACTCTAAGAAATTTTATCAAAAAAACATACTCAAAGAACTAGTGACGTGTCATATTCCCATTTTGGAAACTTTGTTAATGTTCCAGCTACAATTGTAAATTTTATCAGTTAGAGTTTGATCACAATACATGTTTCCATCGTATCATTTTTGTAGCTTTAAAAATCGAATATGTTTAACAAAGGTGTAATAAAATGAGACAATGACTAAGGAAAAATAAATTTGGTTTTCTTCATTTTAAGTTGGTATCTTAAAACTTAAAAAGATACCAAACAACATATTATATATGATTTGCTTGCCGAGTAATATACAAATATCTAATTTATTAATTTAGATTTATAATAAATAATCTTGTGAAAGTTTTTATGATTGATTTAATTAAAAATTCATTAATATTTTTACATGAGGAGATGTGGATTTTAATTTCCAAAAAAATGAAATTATGTGAATTAATGATAAAAAAAATACAAAAGATCTACATCATAGTGTAAAACATACGATCAAATATGGATTTTATAGGATGGTTGAGATCGTGCATTCTATATCATAATGTAAGGAGTACCGTCAAACTTGATTCCCGTAAGACAAATCACATTGTACAGACATGCTTTTATATAGGACAAATAGAATTGTATGTCATAAAATCGTCGTAATTATTGAAAGAAAAAAAGATCTTATACAATAAAGTAGGCTTCTCTCCCTTCTCATGCATCCACATCAGCATTTGTGAGGGGGGCAAAAAAAACCATGTCATCAATAACCTAAACCAAATAAACCGAACAAAATTTATCTCTCCCCCATTTCGGTTTCAATTGATTTTCTGTTTGTCGGTTTTGTGGTTGTTGTTGGGCTGGCTATTTTGTATGGTAGAGGCCCAAATTTTTTTTAAGTTTTTGTTGTTAAAACGGAAACACAGCAAATAATGGTATAAATCATCTATAATACCAAAATTAAAGCAATTTGAAGTTTTTTTGCGTTCAATACCACGTTACAGACACATTTATTTAGATATTTCAGATAATGATAATAAATATCTAAAAAGGTAAATCAAACCCTCAAAATAATTTTAAAATTATTCCACAAATCTATGGCGTTTGCAACAAATACAAACTTATCTAATGTCAAGNTATTCGATACCCACATATAAATTACCTTTCAAATTATATTATAAATATTAAAACCAAGCAAAATCATAAGGAACTCCGGTCGGTTAATTTTTAATAACCATAAATTACACATCAAACCACTCAGCATACATGCAAAGTGCTAATGTTCAAAGAATTTATGTGATAAATTGGATTACTTAGAGTAATAAATCTTATAGTTATGTTACTGAAAATAATAATTCTTAAAGTTACAAATAAAAGGAACAAATGCCAGTTTTATAGCTCGATTTATTTCATTAATAATCATTCATTTCTTTTGAAAACTATAGTTTCTTCTTAAGTTCTGTATTTATTAACTAAACCAATTAAATTATGTATTTTCATTAAAACTATGTTTTACTCCCTCCGTTTCATATTCTAAATAGTATTTTTTTCAAAATATAGGTAATTTTCTCACATCTATGTAACTCTTACATGTAGTAGATATAATGTGACCAATCAAATAATGTCTATTTTTTTATAATTAGAAAATTTTATTAATTAAATACTATGTTCTAAAAAATAAGATCTTTCTTAATATTAAAGCTTTTATTTTAAACTATTGTGAAATGGAATAAGTAATATTATATATAAACGTTTAGAAAAATCTCCGTGATACAAAAAATTAGTTTATCGTATTTTGTTAACTTTTACTAAAACCTTAAAAACCCTGAAAATAAGAAAAAAATAACAAAATATGCAACTTTAATTTTAAATTATCACTCTTTTCTTACTTCTTCCAATAAAACATGAACACTATCATCATACAAATTTAAGTAAATAAGTATTTTTATTGTATTTAATTTGATTAACTTGAAACTTATGAATTTGTGTAGCCATAAACAGGTTGCCCNATAAGAAAAAAATAACAAAATATGCAACTTTAATTTTAAATTATCACTCTTTTCTTACTTCTTCCAATAAAACATGAACACTATCATCATACAAATTTAAGTAAATAAGTATTTTTATTGTATTTAATTTGATTAACTTGAAACTTATGAATTTGTGTAGCCATAAACAGGTTGCCCTTTAAGAATAAATGATCCTCGGGCGAATTTATATATACTAAAGTATTCACACAATATGATTGAATTCTTTAAATACATTATTGATTTTTAATAGTTATACCTTCCACAATTTTGCTAAAATCTTAGCGCAAAATAGACACAAAAAATAATTGAAAATATCAAATGTTTATTAGAATTTGAAATTTTTTTCAGTTATTTATAACGTGCGTACCCCGCCCGTAGGGCGGGTTTTACCTAGTTTTTAATAAAGAATCGTTTTAGGGAAAGTGAAGATTGGAGCATTATTCTGCCATTAAGCCTCGTTTTCGAACTGACCTAACAAATCTATTTGATCCCTTTCATATATATCGTTTTCATATATAGTTGTTTATTTAATTCCCCTTTCTTTTATAAAAATACAAGCAAGCAAAGCACAGAAGAAAAAAAAACAATAGTCAAATGTAAATGAATAGTTGAATACAAAAATGACTCGGATTGCTGACATGGCAAAAAAAGATTTGAAATCCCGCCTAAACCCCTAAGATATTTTTAGATTTGGTTTACGAAATTGAATTTGAGAAAAGATATTTTGGCAACACCCACTTAACCCTACGCGTCACAAGGCGTACAAATCACAAACACGTAGCTATTCCTCCTTGCTCACCCTTCTCTCTATTTTCAAACCCTACGAGAGATCTTCGTCAAGGTAATCTCCTTCGATTTTCCCGGGTTTATCTCTCGATTGTGTGCTCATGGATCTCTTCTGCTGCTCCTTGTTTCCTCCGTATCGTTTTTGTAGCTATTAGAATCGAATATTCTCTCCGTTTAGAATTTTTGTACTGTTTGATTGCGTTTATTTTCCATGTGTCTACTCTGTTCGCTGATCTTCTTATTTTACCTGCAGAATCGGATCATGAAAGGAGGTAAATCAAAGGCTGATACGAAGAGCTCCAAGTAAGTCTCACCTACATAGATCGATTCTTACATTTTTATGCGTCTTGTTTAGCTTATAGATCTATGGATTGCAGCCTCACGTGATTTTGTTTCTGTGTTGTTGATAGGCTCGCTGTGAACAAGAAGCCAGCTAAGGCAAGCAAAGCAGCTGCGGCGGCTAAGGATCCTAACAAACCGAAGAGGCCTGCCAGTGCCTTCTTCGTTTTCATGTAACCATCCTCCTCTCTCCGATCCTTATCTGTATAGCAGTCTGCTTTTGGATATTTGTATGGCTTCTAAGAATATATTGAATGTGAGATTTGTAACAACCTTTACTTTGCAAGATCTTATAATTAATTTAGGTTGTGATTGTTGATTAATTCGTTCTTGATGTAATCCTTTGGTTACTACCTGCGTTGACTGTATGATTCTGTTACTAATCCTTGATTCGATTTGGATTTGTGATGTGAAGGGAGGATTTCCGTCAGACTTACAAGAAGGAACATCCCAACAACAAATCTGTTGCTGCTGTGAGTGTTTGGATTTCGATGTTGTATGGTTGATTTTTCTTTCAAGCTATATACTCAGAACTTTCAATGATTAACAGGTTGGGAAAGCTGGTGGAGAGAAGTGGAAGTCCTTGTCTGACACTGTTTGTTCTCTACTCTATTTGATTGTACTTTCTTGTATTGTGCTTAACTGTTAAGTGATTGTGAGTGTTTATTAACGTTTTGGATTTTACAATTTTGTAGGAGAAGGCGCCCTATGTCGCTAAGGCTGACAAGCGTAAGGTTGAGTATGAGAAGACCATGAAAGCCTACAACAAGAAGCTGGTAAATTTTGTTCTTACTTCTTAGTATATAAACAATAAACTAATACTTTCATCAACAGAGTCAGAGTGTGTTCTTAGTTATTCAAGAGTAGTACTGTTTGATTGACATTGATGTGTTGGTGTTATTCAGGAGGAAGGTCCAAAGGAAGATGACGAATCTGACAAGTCTGTGTCTGAGGTTAATGATGAGGATGATGCCGATGATGCCAGTGATGAGGTACAGTTCTTGATTCTTTCAAGTCATTACATCATTTATTATGAATTACAACTCTGTTTAGCTGCTTATTTAGTGTATCTGCATCACTATCGTTACTTAGGTTGCTTCTTTTGATAATCAGCCTACTATCCTCGTTAAACCTCTTTTCTTGCTTTGTTTTGTTATATAGGAGGAAGACGATGACTAAGAAGTTTATGTTTGGTAGCATTATATAGGACGCTGCAAGGATCTCAAGCATGTTCTTTTTTATTTCCTCTTAAAAATGTTAACTAAGCTGGTTAAAATGGTTTTTCTTGTTTTCTTTTTTACTGATTCTACGGGTAATAGAAAAAATGAATGTAATGAGAGATTTGCAGCTCAATATAACTATTTAGCTTTTTTTAATAGCTCTATGTTTGTTATGATCTTAATGCTCTTTTTAATCTCCTCTACTACCTCTAATGAAGTGTTGCTTTTAAGAGTTTGAAATCTCTAATGGAATCTTAGTACAGTCAATGTTTCATATTGTACTCGCAGTAATAATATCCTTTCGTGGTCGTTGCTAACACGCTCTTAATCAAGGTGTTCCAAAAAGGTTATTCCATGACTTTACTTTCTGTTTGGTTGAATTGACTTTAGCTACAAAGGTTGGTAAAATTGTCGGTGGGCCTTCTTTCCAATGACCAAAGCCATGATGATTTGGTGCTCTTTTCACATATTATTATAAAACTCATACATAATTAAAATTTTATAATATATAATTTTTCCAAATTTTATATAAGAAATATGCTAATTCTGATCATTCTCGACACTAGTGGGAGATTGAGAGCGGAATCCGCGTAACATATCTTTATATCAAAGAACCTTTTTGGTCTTAATTCATACATTTTTATTCTTTAATCACAACAATGAAAATGAAAGCATGCTCTTTAGTTCTATTATCTTTTAATTATTAGTCTGGAAGATAATGTTTTATATTGTGCTGTGATTAAGCCTTGCTTCCGGCTTTGAGTAACCACTATAGATAAAGTAAAATGCACAATTTGCGTTCTTCTACTCATACAAGCAAAGCTCCTGATGAAAATAATATCTGGAATTCATATGTCGTTTTTATTATGTCACCCACACGTAGGATTAAGATCATCTTATATCATTTTGGAATATAACACCTTTTTAAATTTCTCAAATGGTGGATTGACCCGTAAAACTCGAATAAAACATTGAAATTCTAACACTAAATAGTGACAAACGATTGACAAGATCGATCCTAGTCATGACCATAGTTTTTCTAATATTCTTAATTATAATCAATTTAAGAAAAAAAACATTGAATGACTATAACTTATTCATTAACAGAAGTATAATCTAAACTGATCAGTTATAATCAATTTGTATCCCTAATTTTCCTCTAATAAACTGATGATTAGAAAGAAAAAAATCAGGCCAGTTGATCATTACTCATTAGTTAAGAGATCTTTTCATAAAAGTGTTTTATTTAACGGTAACAAATAAACTAAAGATCCTTTATTCATTAAAAGAGAAAAGATATATAAACCATTTAATCACTTTCTTCTATTGTTTCTTCTTTCATATGGTAAAAAAGGAAGAGAAGAAGGTGAAAGAAATAGATGGAGAAAGAGAGCCAAAACGGTGCGTATGTTGGAAGAGGAGTTATGACGGAGGAGCAAATGGAGACTCTCCGTAAGCAGATCGCCGTTTACGCCGTTATCTGTGAACAGCTCGCTCTCCTCCACAACTCTCTCTCTTCTTTCCATCCCCTCTCCTCAGGTACACACTTACTTTCTCTCTACATATAGTGTCTAAACGCAAACGTTTTGTAACGCAAACGTTTTGTCTAACCACACACCTTACTCTCATTGAGCTGATACTTCAGTGTAAACTGCGTTTGCAAACGATTGGTTTGAACTATAGTTATTAGCGATTAGGTTAAGATATATATTTATACTTGGAAGAAACTTAAGGCTCACGTATAGGAATGAATCCAAACGGTGGTGGATACTTTGATCCTATGGTGGCATCATCAAGCGTTCATAGGGTATCAACTCGGAACCGATGGACTCCGACGTCGATGCAGCTTCAAATACTTGAGAGTATTTACGAGGAAAGAAGTGGAACACCGAATAGACGGAGGATCAGAGAGATTGCAACGGAACTGTCTGAACATGGACAGATAACGGAGACAAATGTTTACAACTGGTTTCAGAACCGGCGGGCTCGGTCCAAACGTAAGCAACCTCAGACGAGGGCAACAGCGAATGATCAGGCTGAAGATGCGGCGGTGACGACGGATGAGAAGAGGAGTTGTGGAGATTCTGGAGGGTTTGACTCTTATGAGCATATACTCTTCCCGAGTCCTGACTTAGGTAAAACTTTGTTTGAGTTTATTTATTCCATTTGATTTTACTCCAATGCATTTGTTTTTTTTTAAGTTCGGTTTGGTTTGAAATCTTTAAAGTCCGGTTCCCTCTGGTTTAATTTTGTTTGGTACCATATTGGCATATTATAGCGAAATTATTTTTGATTTTCGGTCGATGAATTTCGGTTTTATTCAGTTTGATTTGTATTAACCCTATATGATGATAAAGTAATAGAAGAGGTGATCGACTTGTGGTGGTTTCAGGGATTGAGCATTTGTTGAGTAGAGGGGAGCTTTCTGGAGAGTTCAATTCGTATAGACTGACATAAGAAAAACAAAGAATGATGAAAATCTCTAGTCTCTACTCTTTCTCTTCTCCATGTTTCTACCAGACTAAGCAATATATTTTGTTGTCTTAATTAAAATGACATTATTATGTATGTGTTTGTGTGACTTTAGCCAGTGTTTTAAAGTATTACACCAAAAAAGTGTTTTATAGTAGATTCTGTGTTTTGCAGATTGTCATGCCCACATTTGTTTCATTATTAGGAGCAATAATGTGAAAAACACGTACTGAGAATCTTGGGCTTACAATATTTTCATATTTCCAAATCTAAAGGATACGCTCACATTGTTTATACCACCTGCATTGGTTACTAGGGTTCTCTCAGGTCTCGACGGTCGTTGGATTTTGAATAAAGGAAGTTTTCAACTTTTTGGTGTCAATTAACGTTTTGCTAGTAGAATTCAATTGTCATAAGTTCATAACTAACTAGTAAATAGGGAATTCAATTGTCACAATTAAGTTCATAACTAAGGAGTAAATAGGGACTTCATATATATAATTATTGGTCAAGAGAAATAATTTACATTCATAAAGATGAAAAGAAATAACAATCCAATAAATTATGATGCATAAGTGACCAATTCACCATGAGTTTTCGGGATTGTCACGACCTAAACACAAGGTAAGTTCCGAACGAATCTGACCATGTTCAGATGCAAAAGCCAAACTATTTCTTCAACCACAGGAGCAAAGTTCCTTGGTTGCCATTTGAGGACAGCTTGATGCCGGTTTGGCTTTCTTGGCTAGCCTCACATTGTGAATCAAACGGGCTCAGCGTGAAAAACATCTTTTTTTCTAGGCAGTCTTGCGTGTTGGCAAACTGCGTTTCGGTAGTCTCAACTACACACAGATAAAGATAATTAGTATTAATGTTAGGGAACTAGACTACAAGTAAACAGAGTTTGAAATTTGAATGCGTGTATTTGTCTTTCCCAGACCTTTGATTTTGTAGTTCTCCAGCCTCCTGAATCTTGCTGCTGCGTTGGGGAGTATGCAAATCTGTCTATTGACTTAAACACATCACTCTTGTCCGCATCTGTTTGAGTGACATCAGGGGATTCCTACAAAACCACAAGAAAGATTGCTTTTCTTCCTACAAGAAAATTCATCTCAACTATATTTAGACACAACATATAAGATGCTGGTCTTTTCTCTTGAAAGCATTAAACTTATCTTACTTCAGTCTCAAAACTGTATCTCCATTTGTTCACAACTGAAACATCAGATTTTGCTTCTCTTATATAAGAGTATGACATGAAAGAGTACCTTTTGCTCTAACGTTGTTTCCTTGCTTGCATCATCTTCTGCGACATCTACTTGATCAGCAAAGAACAAAATCTGCCAACACGTAAAGATCCTGATTTTAGCGGAGGTCAAGACAATGAACCAAGCATTATAAAGAATCACCACTAAAGTCAGCTTACTTTGCTTAGAAACTGGACATTTGATGAATCAGTAGCCTTAACTTGCACCCCGAGACACGTATTTGGGATACTACAGAAAGGGCAGAAGATAGCATTGAAAACACATCCATCTTGCTGGCACCAAACACCCTGACCTTTTGCGGTACCAGAACTTCTGCAGAGTCTCTGATTAACTAACGTACAATCTGTCATGACAACTGAAACACTTGTTGGCATTATTTCTTCACGACCAGTTCCTAATGTTTCTTTCAGGAGAGACAGCAAATACGTTTTGGACGACGAAGTCAACACGCCTTTGGGATGTGAGTGGTTCTCAGGGTGACCTAAAGAACTTCTGCAGAGTGAACAAGATATCTTCATCACTCTCTGATTCACTTCTGGAAAAGCATATATATTGTCGTTCTGGGATTTTGATTCGGTACTTGCTGACCCAAATTCAATTCTTTTGGTAAAACTTGTGAGATCAGTGGGTCTAGTACTAGGAGCACTACTGTTTTCTTCTTCTTCAAGGTCAATGACTGGAGAGCTTGTAAATTTTCTTCTCTTCAAAGCATGGGAATTTACACTCACGTTCAAAGGTGACTCTTCTCCAAGAGGAGATTTTCTTAAATTTCCAGTAGATATACGCTGCTTTAGGATTTCATCAGGAGATCTCGGACCTGTTGCTGGGCTGGAGCTCTCATTCTTCGAGCAAGAACTTGGACTGCCTCCAGAAATACCTTTGAACATACCAGAGATTTCCTTAACAAATGATGTTTCTGGATCTTCATCACAATTGGTACAATTGGTTACCGATGATACCTCACAATACCTGCACATAGCAGTTTTTAAGTTTGCAGAAACATGTATAATATAAACTTACAATCTGCAGTATTTTAATCAACAATTCACATGAAATGCTAGTTCTTGAGTTCCAGCTACCTCTAATAATCAAGACACTTTAGGACAATAATTCCTCATTATACTTATAGGGTGTGAATCTTATAAAATCTGATATATTTACCCAGGCTCAGGTTGGACCCCACACTCAAGGTCAATGACTTCTTCATCATTGACTTGAATGAATTTTTGAGTAGGTATGTCACCTACAGATGATAACTGAGAAATAGAGGTTCCATAGTTCACACTAGAAAGCCGCATGGATCTCGAGCCTTCAGCTATTTTTGGTTTCCAGTCATTCATAAAATGATATTTTGGATTCGAACTTGTATAGTCCTCCACTTTCACCACCTTCTTACCTGCGATATCCTGCACAAAAAATCATGATCAATAAGAAAACAAATTTATTAAAAAACACCACAAACCATAAAACATATTTGCTTTTAGAATGTACTTTTGGTTCTGCATGATTGCATTCCTTCTGAATTTGATTTTCCTTCTTTATGCATTCCTTTCTTAGGTTTTCCGAAGAAATACCCTGCCCAACAGTATGATCCTGGGACTCTAACATCTTACTGTCGACTCGTTCCTGCATGCAATTCTAGAACTTTAATGGTTATGTAATGAAGTTTCTCGCAAGAGACTGAGATGGTTTGAACCTTGGCACTGTTGAAAAAAGATCTTAACCCTTCCATAGATTCTTCAAAATTATCATACAGTTTGATAGACTGCCGTAGCCACTTTGATATAGACGCTCTGTTCCTTTGTTCTCTGTATCGCTCATCTAAACACCAAACAAGGGAAACTTCTCTTAGATGAATAGAACAAATGTTTTAATAGTGTTGAGCAGTGACTATCTTATTAGTACCCAAAAATATGATGGCTCCATAATCAAACCTATGCCGGATACATCTCCCTGTAAAGAAAAACACCATGATGAATAGCCTGTTACAGAGTTAAAATTGACTGGAACCAAGTGATATAATCCAAGTTATCCCATCAAACCTGCTGCTTGATTCAAAGCACGATAGGCTTGTTGGCAATACCAGTCACTCCCTCCAAGAAGGTTCTTAGATGATTTATACGTATCATTATATTTTTTCTTTAGTCCGACTTGAAGATCATGCCTGTCAATGAAGTGACTCGTTAGAAAACAGTACTCTAAAGAAGATCACAAACAAAGCTGGAAATTTGTAAAAGGGAAATACAAATCTTACAAGTTTGGAAATGGAATGCCAACAATTATCTGTGTTTAATCATCAAGGTTAACAGGCCATTCATTAACCAAGTTGACCAGTACCATTTATCCTAAAGTCGCAGCAAAGGGTTACAGTAAATGACTAAACAAAATACCAAGACAATGCAGTTGAAAAGGATACGACTGCCCTGGCGTTGTCATCAGCAAAGTCAATTCCTTCTGAAACCTGTGAGAAACATGTAGACTAACTCAAATCTCAAATCCATTTACACATATAACTTAGGCTCTGTATTGTTCCCTTTAATTGTACACTAATTATAGAAAACCAAGAAAAAAATGACAAACCTTTCCTCTACAAACTGCGAGAAATGCAGCTCCTTTCTTGGAATCATCCTGAGCCTCAGTTTTAACTAGCCCTGCTTTCTTAAATCTTCTATTTCTTCCAATCAATTTGTTCTTCCCGAGTATAGAATCATAATAACCCTTCAGAACAGAATCGAATTCATCCTGGGCTCCCCCTCTCGGCTCTGCAACAAAGGACAATTTATTTGAGGTTTTTGACAAGAAAACAAAATGCATCACTATATGATTTTTTTGCAGAAGTTTCTACATTATCCTAGAAGGTAAAAGTTACCCACCAACAAAGAGGTCCTTCTTCAAGCAGAGCCGAGACCATTGCCCAGTTTCACGCCAACGGTTGCAGAGTTTGTCCATCAACTTATAGCTTGGAAAGAATACAAGTGAGCCACCTGGAACAATAGTGCAAACTTCTTCCAACGATTTCCCTAGCGCATCCTTCAAATAATAGTAGAGATCGTGTCAATAGACGAAAACAATGCATCTCAGTACAAAAACAACAGAATTACAGGCAAAAAGGAGCTTGAACCGATGACTACAACGCACAGTACCTGGAATGCGTACGAATCAGCTGTTTTATAACTTCCATTCAGGGGATGATTACCAGGACCATTGGAAATTGCACCAGCCCACACCTGGAACAAAGAGGCTGTTAAATCATACATTCAGTTCTGTAAACCATTGCTAAGTAGAGAGATTTAGCCACAACCTGCAGATTAATATCAATCACATGTGGAGCTTCTAAACATGTGCCAAACTGCATCCCAAGTTCAGATGAGAAAGAATTCATCGGTGACAAAGTCCTATATTTCACAACCAAAAAAAAATTCAAAAACTTAATCACTACTGAAAGAGATGGCTTAAGAAACAATGAAAATTTAGCAAACTCCTAGTCCTGGGGGTAACGTGAAGTGTAGAAGGCTATGCATAGATCTAAAGTTGAACCACAAATAAAACCGCAACATAAAATCTGATGAAACACAACTATAAGAAGATAAGTATGATTCATTGTACATTGAAGCCATATTCTTTACAAAAATTAACAAGAGGTTCTTACTTGAAAAAAATCCAGAAGGAAAAGGTGTACGTGAATTTGGAAAGGGTGACTTAATATTTTGCAGACGCAGTAGTCAGGATAGTACTTACCCGGATGTTAAAATGATGGATAAAGAAAGATCCGCTAAGTCTTTGAAAACAACGGACGGGTTCATACACCATAAGCTGAAAGTATGCGTCCAGGCACCAGAAGAATCTCCTGCATCCCAGTAGACCAAAATGAACACCCTCTGTTTCTACAGACGGGTAAAACTTCAACAAATTC